CAATAATAAGTAAAACAATGAATATAAAAAGTATGTGTAGTGATTCACAACTAATAAGAATCTACGGGGAAATTAATTTAATATTAATTAGGTTGTTCGTGTGGTGACGGATTAAGAATACAGAGTGTGACCACCCCTTTTTTTTTTTTTTTTTTTTTTCCTTGCGGAAATCCCCTCGGATACCACCTGTCGGTGGCATGTCGGACTCGAACCGACTAAAACCGCACGCCGTCGCCGGGTACTAATAGCCGGGGAACCAGGTATACCCTAGAAAGGAAGTCCCTGGGGAAAGTATTATTATTATTTTTTAACAAATTCACACATCTCACACACGGCAGTCTGATCCCAAACTAGGCAGAGTCTGTACTATGGTAGCCAGACTGCTGATAAACATACTTTTATATTTTTAAATACATACATATTATAGATAAATTACACCCAGACACAGAACAAATGACCGTGCTTATCACACAATATTTGTCTTGGGTGGGGATCGAACCCACGACCTCCGGCATAGCAGTCAGGGTCACTAACCACTAGACCAATAGGTCCGTTAGTGTGACCACCCCTATTCATCTCGTGGGTAAGATGAGCCGACTAAGGGAATAAACTCTGCAGGACAACAGCACTGCATGAGAAGGAAAACTTGACGCAAACCCTAAACCAACCCGTCTAGAGAGCGTGGTATAGTAGACCAAAATCTCCTTTTTAAGGAGAGGCCTATGTCCAGCAGTGGACTATTAAAGGCTGTTCAGGCTATCATGATGAGGTTGTTAATTTTTTTTAAGTCATGAAGTTAATAAAAATAATAAAACCTATACCTTCACATAACGGCTGTCTGATCCCAAACTAGGTAGAGCCTACACTATATAACCAGATTACTAATTAACCTACTTCAATATTTCTAAATAAACACACTTAAAAACACTTTGAAAATAAATTACACCCAGAAACAATAAAATATCGTGCTCATCACATAAATATTTGTTCTGGCACGATTCCCACAAACGAACTCACGACCTTGGACTTAGCAGTGAGGGTCATTAACCCTACTACCAACTAAACCAACAGGACAGTCAATTCATCTAATTAGCTAAAGAGCCGAATGGAAAAAGCATCCAAAGAGCAGGTGAATTGGTCACTTAAAGTGAAGACAACATAAGTTCTTTGTATACCATCCGGTTTTTTTTTCAATTTTTCTGGTTATTTATTTTATACTATTCTATTGAAGCAAAGCTATTTCTTATAGCCTAGTACCTAACCTTAAAATAACCTAATTAATCAATTTATATTAATTTATAAAGAATTCAGAAGAGATAGATATTTAGTAAAATAATTGTCTGTAAATATAAGCTCTACTTACGTAAAATCTCTTTGATCTTTTTTACAAGTATACTGGGAATCCAAAAAACTACTACTGGCACTGTAAAAATATAAAATAATTCTATCACAAATACAAAAAAAGGTAATTATTTTAAGGTACTACCGAAATATTGTAACAAGGGGTGAAATCTTGGTGATTTGAAATACAGGCATACGCCTATGTTGTAAAATCTCCTCCTTAACGATTTCTGTTATCACCTAAAAGACCACTTTGTGATGCATTTCGACTTTTTAACTTTTAAGCACACATTTGAACCATAAGAGCAATTAGTTTTGCTTACTGTTTTACTGAAAATCATAGTAAAAGATGCTCTTGACCGCCCTTACGATATAAAGCATCCAAAACGTGCTTTAAATGCTTTATTTGAGGTGACAGGAGAAACCTAAGTATTTAAAAAGATTTTACATTAAGATGTAATATAACGTCACTTACCTTATGACATAAAATAATTGAACGCAAGCCGTGAACAAGTTAGTGATTATGGATATAAACAGGCAGATTCCAAACCAATTATTTATCAACTTCACTAAATGCACAATTTTTAAATATTCTAATCGGAAACTTTCACACAAAAAGAAGTCCTGAAAAAAAAAGATATATGTCAGCTCCAACACACGCCTGGAGTTAGTACTCGTTAGGAATGATTTGGCTGCACACAAGTATACAAGTTATACACACAAATGTGAAAGTTGAGCACGATAGGTTGTGCACAAAAACGTAACGAGGTCATTCGATCACTAAATTTTACTCTGCATATTTTTTTCATACCGGGCGCCTTTAATGAAGATAGATTCTTAAGGAGTAAACTCCAAAAAAAAATTAATAAATATTTTGTAGTGAAGCGAATTGATGTGACTGAAACCACATTTTGTTCCGTCAACAGTTTCTCACCTCCTTCCGTCACCGTCTAAGGTTCTTTCTGACAGGACAACGAACTGCCTTATACTTTACGTCTCTTCGTCATTAAGTGGTAACAAATACTCTTGTTCTATTATATAGAGAGTATTATTCTTTTTTTTAGACATCAAAATGTCTATTCCAATGCCACTTTTTTTTAAATGACAACGTCGACAAGTACTTAAGTGCAAGGGATAGCAGCTATCTCATCTAGAATATTCTGATTTCATGAAACACAAATTGCCAAACATCATTTTTATCGTAAGAGAGCACAAATGGGCCAGCTTGACAGAAGATATCACTGCTGAAGATGCACTTATTTTTCGCACACATACCTAGTACACACATGCATACTGTCAACTAGGTATCAATGCAGGAACATTCCCCTGAAGATCTTAATTTATTCGATCAATCGAATCGACTTTAAAATATACTTACCTCTTGCACAGCTCTTTTCAGTCGCCTATTGTGTATTAGAAAATATTCTGACAAATATAAGCTTGTCAGAACCACGATTATTTCATTATAATTAAAGTTCATTGAACTCTGTAAGGAAAATATCTAAAAAGAAATTAAATTTATTATATTATATATAATAAATTGTTTACATATACAAGTATACATAACGTCGGTACTACTATTCTTCTTAATCACTAAGGTATAATACTTTTTCCTGGATATTTATTCATTGAAAAAACAGGAAAACGGCTAAGGGATCTATGGATCTATGGACCCCCGGTCGGACCCTTTCGCTTTTCAGTAGATGTTTGCTATATATGAAATATGAAAAGGATGTGAGCGTTGACGCGCCAACTGATGTGTCGGAAAAAAGTCTTGTTACACAAATTGTGGTCCCGCTCCCATCCGCTCAATGAGTGTAACGCGCGATAAGGAACTGTGACAAATTGTATAAAAAAACAGGTTGGTTGAGTAGTTATAATTTGAATGCTAGATGGAACACCGCATATATTAATACTGAATATTAGTCACAACAACATCGGTGTCACTTTTTTTTGTTAATCATATTCATATTCTCAGGTAGCTCTGACAACCCTACAACTTAACATATTTTTACATCTAATCAATACTAAAATAAAAAGGATGTAAAAATTATATTAAATAAATGATTTAAAAGTACCTCACTGATTATCCATTTCCACGGAGTTCCCTGTGTGTAGTCAAAAATCATGGGCTTATATAACTTCAAATAGGTATCGATTAAGTCGTCTGAATTACATGCGTAAGCGATAATAAATCCGTGGCTTACAAACAAAATATGATCCCCTGAAATAAGAAAGAATAAAAAAAAAACGTTTATTTTGGCAATAACTTTTAAACAATTTTGCAGTTTAGGTTACCACCGATGAAAAAACAGACTGAATTCAGCCTTATCAAATGAAATATTTTGAAATGAATTTTTCAAATTTTCCGTATCATTCCATTCAAATTAATAATATAATATTTATAATATAATATAATATACCTCACACATTTCACACACGGCCGTCTGATCCCAAACTAGGCAGAGCCTGTACTATGGTAACCAGACTGCTGATAAACATACTTATATATTTTTAAATACATACATATTATAGATAAATTACAACCAGACACAGAACAAATGATCATTGAGCACGATCATTCGTTCTGTGTCTGGTTGTAATTTATCATATCACACAATATTTGTCCTGGGTGGGAATCGAACCCACGACCTCCGGCTTAGCAGTCAGGGGCACTAACCACTCGACCAACAAGCCCGTCATAAATTAAAACAATACTACTCCTAACAATGAAAAATAAAGGAATGAAGAAGAGTGGTTTATTACGATTAATCATATTGTCGACGCTTTGAATTTAATAATAATTGTTAAGAGTTATTTAACATAAAATGTGTCGGGGGTTTTATTAAAATATGAAAGAAACTTTAAATATTTAGTGTAAAGTATAGTAAAGTATATACATATATAGTAGTTAAAAGTTTTATCCGACCTTCCATTCATATCATAATGCCGTGCTTGACCTATGCTTGTCAAACATGGAAGTTTAAAAAAATTATTAAAAATCAAATTACAACGTGCCAGCGAGGAATGGATCGGAGTAAGGCATACAAAAATACGCAACATCACAAAAGCGGAAGACGGTTTAGCACAAGCTCTTGCATTAATTAATCATAGCACGCCTGCAAGATCAAAGGTGGACAAAAAGAGTGACAGAATGGAGAGGGGCAGTGGACAAAAGAAAGAAAGGGAGACCTTCCACTAGATGGGAGGACGAAAGCAACCGCATAGCGGGTCCAAACTGGACACAAATAGCACAATCCAGAGAAAACTGGCTCAATTTTGAGGAGGCCTTTACCTACAGAAGGGTTCTTACAGAATAATTTTATTAAAAATAGATATATACTATAACTACGAAAATTAAAGTATTCAAAACTCTTTATATAAGACTGAAACTACTAACCACCAAATATTAAATTACAAAAATATTTCTTTGTTGTTTCTTGATACTAACAAATTAACTAACTTGTAAACTAGAAATTGTTGGAAGCAATAAAAGGCTTTTATATATATATATATATATATATATTTTTATAGGAAAGAATGTAGCTGATAACCAATGTTTAGTCATTGCAATGATGCAATGCAAATAGTTTATTAGGAATTTAAAATCATAGTTGGTGTAATTTCATTTACAGCATAGAGTATGAAAGATGCAATGTTTAGTTAAAAGTTTTACCTGCACTAATTGTGATCATAAACGCCGTAGCCAAAGTTACAGTAGTTCTAAAGCTTCTTCTGAAATAAGGCAGTTGGTTTTCTATTTTCTCAAATGTTTTCATTATCGTTGGCCAGCTGTAACTGGTTTTGGCTAGGATCAAGGCTGCTGCTAAATTTGAAACGCAGAATATAAAATTTGCTGGAAATACATTTATACATTTTTATACTTATCTCACTTATTACTAACAGTATTACAGATTTTTTTAATACATAATTTATTATTATTTATACGATAAGTGGCTAATTCGTCTACAGAAATGTTCTCTGGTAAGATCATCGCTTAGGTTGACAACAACATTTTCAGCAATAAATTTTATAATACACTTTGTTGGTGGGTCTTAGCAATCGTAATTGCCGTTCTTACGGCGTTCTACTCTCTACATTTCGTACCAAAACATTATCTTTACAAATAAAAATTAAAAACAATACTCCAAAATAAAACTTACTAAAATTTCCCAGCTGTACTCTCTTCTGATATATTTGAAATATTGTAGCGAGGCACATCAGTATTTGTCCAAATATGCTGAATGCATAATATATAGTATATGGCGACCTAAGGGTATACCTGAAAATATATTAAATGTCTTAAATCTCAATTACCCTTTTTATAATAAAATTTGGTAAAGCAATCCTACTTCATGGGCCTCGTCGTGGTCCTTTCTCGGCGCTTTAGCCGTGGTCAATTCGGTCCTCGTACTGGTTCAGGCCCACCTTAAACATCTGGGCCTGATTTTTGATGGGAGATGGCTTTTCAACGAGCACTTCCGACAGGTTACTCCAAAGTTTGCTGAAACTCTCCGGTGGAATTTAAGGCGGAAGCGCTCACTGAAGTATTTTGGAGGGCGACTAAGTTTGGAAAAATTTTACAAGTGGTGAGAGGTTGCGTGCTGAGTCGCGATTGTTCATTGGTCGTCCCGACAGGAGGCTCAACGTGCTAGCTTTGCTGCCATGAAGGCAGCGGAGAGGACTCGGGAAGAAGATCTCAACTCGGTCAAGAAAAAAGGTTAAGGAGAGAAAAATATGTTAAGAATACAGAACATTCTTACCTTACTTTATCACTAGATCGATTGGTTAATCCCGTCAAAGGTAGAAATCCCATAACTCGAAAGCAGATTAGAGCTTCTCTTGTAGTATTATGAAGGCTACCTGGTTCCTTCTTGTTAAGACTTAATCCTCCACCAGCAATGGACCTGGAAAAACACTTAATAGGCATATTTTTCTCGATTATCACACAAACAGAGCTGTTACCGAAAATATTTCTCTGTTCGTCATTTACAGATTGTCACTGAAAAACAGACTATGGGAAGTTATAGCACAAGTTTGTTGTTAGTAATCCACAGACGGTATTTTGTTTCATAACAGTTTTGTGTTTAGTTTGAAGCAATGGACAGCCTGACAGTCTTATGTTTTGGTTGTCATAAGGAATTAATTAATCAAATTACATAAACGACTAAATATTACTTGCGTCTGAACTTATTTCTATCATGAGTAGTTATAACATTATTTGAAATACAACTCCGTGCACTGCAGGTACAACTACAATTGAAAATTCTTATACTTACTTAAATAACTACATTGTCAAAAAAATCTGTCAATAGTGTAAATAGGTCATTAAAATATTTTACCTTTTCTTTGGGTCGAAAACAACTTTATCTGTATGCATTTTTATGAAATAAACTGTTTTGCAAATACTGTTGCTATACACGAAAAAGCAATCCATTAGAATATTAATTCGCCCTCAATGTCCGCTTTCAAAATTCCAGTATAGACTGTTCTTTGTTGCATTACTGTGAGCATTATTTTAATAATAATACCTGAGTGATTTTTTTCTCATTCAGCAATATTTTATTATGATTTAGCGGGCAAATGAATCGATGGTTCACCTAATGGATGCTTGCAACTCACAAAAGTCACAAGCTCGTTATCGGCCTTTGATGTTTGGGTGCACTCTTTTCTTGAAGGTTTGAAGGTCATATCGACGAAAACCAAGACGATGCTACTACTACGACGGTAATATGTGTTACCTCGACTTGAATTCAGACCTACTAAATAAATTATACCGACTTCTCAACAATTGCATTCGGTTCATATTCAACTTGCGTAGTAGGCAACTGTCATGGTTAACCATAAGACAGCGCCGCAGTTTGCGGGCTCTGACTATATTGCATTCCCTTCTGAACTCAGCTATCCCCACTTGCAATATCTCTGTTCTAACTATGACAGAAACCTTGGCTCCTCTGATAATCTCCACCTTCTTTGTCCTTCACATAATTCCCGTATCGTTCATTCTGCCTTCACTGTCCAGTAAAGCTTTGAAACACCTTCCCTCTAGGAATCAAAATGTCTACCAACCGATCAACCTTCAAGATAAGAATACGCAAGGCTAACGAGACTTGTTGATAGAGTCACCAGACTGATGAATTCACGAATAATAATAATAATAATTCGTACATCTGCATCACACAACGCCATCTAGTTTCAAACTAGTATTATGAAAACTATATTGACTGATAGAATACTTTTACTTGGTGTATGTGTGAGTGAGTAAGTGTCATATAGCACGTATAAATTATATATGTGTATACCTAGTGTACCTATCTAGTATAATATATTGCAACTGACAAAAAATTAAAATAATGATTTATCTCATCTGCTTTAAATATACACCTGCTACACACACACAGCTCGACAGCACCCAAAGATTGACTGTAAGGAAATGCCTGTGGCATTAAGTCCGCCTTATGCAATGTATATGCAGGAAGTATAAAATAAACAAGTATCGCTTCGGGAATAAGGTAGACGACAATTTGTGCCGCAAGTAGATTGTACGTGTATTGGAAAGCGCACAGTCATGGAGTGTGTTTATGAGTGTCGTTTATGTACGAGTAAGTGATGGGATGGGCGGAAAGCTGCGACCGGTATATTTTAAATTACACTGATATACACTGATTGAAAAAGTTGAAAGTTCTTGTTCATCATACTCGTATTATGCACACCATATAACGCCTATGAGGTATTCTTTTGAGGCGGTTCCATTCTACATCAAAGAGCCGGCGTCTTCGGAACATACCGTCACTGCCTGTTTTTTTTCTCTTTGAATAGAATTGACTATTCCTTTCAGATTTTCTCCCCTCAACTGTTAATGCCAGGATTTCAGGTGCGGCAACATACTTTAAAAAAAAATGCGGCACGGGCACCCATTGAATATTCTTAAGATGATTTTTCATTATTTCTATTGCAGTTTCGTTTTGACATATAATTTAACATAAGGACATCTGGTGCTAAACAGAGGAAGACTTATTAAAAATTTTAATTTAATCACTTACTGTTCTTGGAAGGTTCGCAGCAGTTGGTAGTAATAAATCGAGGCAGATGAAGATTTGTGAATTGAACTAATTGCATCAAATTAAAATTGTAATTATATTTGACTTTACTTAAATTAGAGAAAGTTTTGATGTTATTTACAATAAAATTATTTGCAAAATATTAAATAATCAGTAGTTAAATACTCTTTTTTCCTTTGCCATACTTTTCTACTTGTAAATAAATAACCTTGTTTCAATTCAAAACTTAACTATTGAAATTTAACTAAATAGGTTCTATTTGTTAACTTTGTTACATACAAACACCATCACGGCAATGCCCTAATTACATGAATGTATTGAACCATTTAAAACAATCTGAGCTAAACCATTACATGACCCAACCATGCATGTATAATAAATAAAAAATAATTTAAGACTTATTTGCCATATATTACCAACGATATGAAAGCGATACGAAAATGAAACGATAATGTGACGATAGAATACATCTCAGATGAAGATTTGTTAGAGATGAATGACGATGACTGATAAGATGAGGATTAGCATTATATTTAGACTCTGCTCTCGCTTAGAGCTCGAACTTTCCCCATAGGGGTCTGTTCCTGGACCCCTCCCCTAGAACATAGGGTACAACTGGACCCATGCAACTGACTTCCCCCCGGGTCGGGTGTAATTTACGGCGGGCGCATATCACATTGGTCACAGTTCAGGGAGCACGAGCGCAAGAGACGGCGCGTCTAGCCACCAGGGGAATCTCTCTGGTGGTCAGTGCATTGAGGCGATAGGCTTACGGGTGGCCCTAAATACGAAAACCCTCTTCTTCCGTGGGCGACAGCACGGGATCCTTTCATTCCGACTCCGGATACAAGATCCTTTCCGGGCTCGGCTGATTCAGTACTGCCTGTCATTACTGCAACTGCAGTGAGGCGCACATGCTCGCAATTGGTTTGGCTTTAGCGTCGCAGCTTCGGGTCCTTATTGCAGTCATTGGAGTGGACCTCTCGCTACTGGCAATAGCCAGCTCGACTTACACAAGAGAACGATCACGACCTATTCAAGCTATTATGTCAATCAATATACTTCCAATTTTACTATCTGATTGCTAGAGTGCCCGTATGATGGCAATGAGTGCCATAAGTAGTGCTAAAATTACAATTGTCAAAATGAAGGCGTTTGTATGATATGCCTCTGTGTGTCCCCAAATTAATAAGCATGAGTTTATGTATGTATGTATGGAATAGTAATGTATAAGACAAAATTTAAGATACAGAACAACGATGGAGTTAAATAATAGGAGTAACGATTGGATAAATGTTATAGGCATCAATCATATTTTATACCAAACAATAATTGTGAATTTTATATCTTCATTTTATATATCTTAACCTCCGCGGGATAAAGTATTTGTTTAATTTATTTATTTATTCATAGGTTTACATAATATGTAAATACGTACATAGCAGTGATATTAACACACTTGACCACAAGTAAACACATCAGCATTTTTTAACGGACTTCAACGGAAAGAGGAGGTTCTCAATTCGACTGTTTGTTTTTAATTGTTGCGCGATTTCTACCTCAATTTTGGTCAGATTTTTTAAATTATTTTTGTAATCGAAACGGTATACCCCGAGATGGTCCCATTTTTACCAATTCAGGATCTTAAAGAAATCGGAGGAGACCCTCAAATTTTATAAACCTGTACAACGTATTTCATATTTTTTTGTTGAATATGTATAATACATTTTTTTGATTATTAAGTGCTAATTATTTTTTGCTTATTAAATAACTGTAGTATAAGTTTAGTCATAAAAATGAATTTCTGTGTTTCCAGGACTAAAAATAGAAATGTGATTTTTTTTAGTATTCAAATTTTTATCTGTAAATCTTTTCTCTAAATAGTACCGCTTGCTGTGATTTAAATTACGTCTTATCCGTTTAGTAGAAAGTTCAATAAGGTGTAAATATTGAAGCAAAATGCGCTGAATATAAGTTAAGACGTGTTTTAAGAACATTGAGGTCATAATTATGACAATATACCTCGGCATAATGAGACAACAGTTGAGATTATCGGTAGTTACTGTTAATAAACCAAAAAATGCTGAGTATTGAAGACATTCTGCGCAATTGATAGCAATATAAAAAAAATACATTTTACATGAAATTTATTTAGATATACGCATGAGCGATGTACTTTATCTTTTGATTTGATTTTTTAACTAAATCTTTTCGTAAAGTGAAATAATATAGAAAAAAACTCTGCGTATGATAGGTCAATTCGAAAGATTGGTTAAAGGCTTAACTTAGCAGTGTAAAAGCAGAGAAGTTACCACGAATACTGCGTTACACTGCAGAAAATACAAATCAATGAATATTTTTCAATTGTAACTTTTTTTATGTGAATATTTATAAGTCCCGTCTTTGGTCATGATATGTTGAAATGTTTTTATTTCCGTTGCATTTTGAATATTATTAAAATAAACATAGGAGGTTAACATTTCTTCTTCCACAATCGTACGGAGTGTAACGGCCGGCGTGACGAACTACGTGATATCTCGTTAATGGGTGTTCTTCTGATTAGTTTTGAATGTAGATTACATTACCGTTAAGCCCTAACATAGCCGCTTTTCGTGATCTTAAGATTTAATTCTGTGACATTTATGTGACAAATTAAAATGTAATTTAGAAAGGTCAGCAGAATTTCAAGTTCAGCTACGTTCAGTCGCTCATTGTGTACAAGATAATGTAAAATGTATTTTTAATCTTCGGACAGTCCTACTACAGCACACACACTAGCTCGACCGGAGTGATCCGGAGTGACCTCAGAGAACACCAGTGATGACCGAATCTTTCATTGCCTATCACTAAGTGGGCAAAGGCGCCTCCTTCGATTTCGGAGGGGGGTGGGGGGGGTGGGTCAAAAGCTTTTTTTTAAAAGACAACTCCCGCGTTACGAATATATCCTGTGTCGCGGAGGACTTTACAAACATTCATGAACCGGACAAGAAAGAACACCCAGACTCGGAAGAACAATTTGTGGAACTACTTTTATGTCTCTCGAGTTGCAGGTTGACACCTGCTGATACATATATGTACATAAAACTGAAACTGCGACACCTGTATATATAATATTCTAAACTCTAGAGGTTTAATAGAACAGAATTAATCACTTTTATTTGAGTAATTAGCATTTCATCAGACACGTCGAGTCTACGAACACAGGTAATCATACTTTAGTATTATATAAACTTATTACGAGTTCTCGTTACGAGATGGTAGAATCTTATTAAAACAATTCTTGCAATGGCACACACGTACATTTATTTTAATGTTTCAGTTTTCTGTTAATAAATCTGTTGGCTTAAGCGACGGTATAAAGACGTGGCAGTCAATTTTAGCAATCCAGTAGATTTTATGTCTTGAGCAGAACCCCTCAGCTTCACCTCTCAGGACGGTCATTATTGAGGTATCAAAAAATACAGAATTCTGGTTAAATTACAGCCTGATACTTTTACTGTCATATAACAAATCCAGAACCTTACTTTCTCATACCCTAAGTCACCTGCGTACCGGTCTGGTTACGGTACAGTCACATGATGAATCCATGGAAGATCTAATGACCCCACACATCACACACACTATGCCGAGCTTGTACTATGGTAACCAAATTACTGATAAACATACTTAAATATATAGTATACACACATTTTATAGCTTAAATTACAGTTAGACATAGAACAAATGATCGTATTTATCACACTATATTTGCACTGGGTGGCAGTCAGGATCACTTTATACTAGAACAACAGCTCTGTCAAATTAGAAAACATTTACTCAGAGTTTTAACAGATATTTTAGATATATCATCAACAAATGAATAAACGCACGCAAATTCTATTTAATAATTTGCATATTCGGCTACACGAATCAAATTCAAAGCCGAGCCTGTACTATGGTAACCAAGTTACTGATAAACATACTTAAACTTTTAGTATACATACATGTTATATCTTAAATTACAGTTAGACATAGAACAAATGATTGTATTTATCACACTATATTTGCACTGGGTGGCAGTCAGGATCACTTTACACTAGAACAACAGCTCTGTCAAATTAGAAAACATTTACACAGAGTTTTAACAGATATTTTAGATACCTATATCATCAACAAATGAATAAACCTTCCTGTCTGATTAGACAAAAAACCGTCTGATTAGACAATTTAGAAAAAGGCCCCACCATCTCACCACCCCGAAGCAGCTACTTACAGTACTTTACCTTTTCAAATTTTTCACAAGTATCTAGATGTCACTAAAATGTTAAAATAGATTCGTTTGTAGCCTTTTTGTCTTGCTTAGAAAATTAGGGCGATATATAAAGTTGACATTTACGTCCGTTGTTAAAAAATGCTCAGGTAAGAAATACTTTAGTAATTCGGTTTTTTAATGTTAGTAGATTTATTGCTTGAAAACACACAAAAATACATTCACCACTATTATGTCCAAGATGTGATTTATGTGTTAAAAGTTACTACCTAATATGTTCTGATTGTTTAATGCATTAAGATTTATCTATGTATGTTTATTAGAATAGACTCTTCAGAAACCTTCATCACTTTGTTCCTATTCTTAACAAGCCCAGACGTCCAGCATTATTTCCGAATACACCGTAACGTATTCAGAAAGGATGCTGCAATTACAGAAGTTTTGTAAACATTGTCTTTATTTTACATGTTTGAATACTCTATTAAATAATGAAATATCATTGTATCAACTACATATTTACTTGTTTTTTTTTGTGAAAAACGATGTATAGGTAACTAGAAGAGGCTATCTAAACAAGACAAAAAAATCTTAACAGTTTTACATATTTTTCTGTCTTAATATGGGATAGTTTTATCACGTAGTGGTTTTTTTTCATTTCTAATTATAGGTAAAGAAATATGTTAAACATTCAGTTTTGTTTACGATTGTCTTATTTAATGTTGTTATTTTTATAACCATTACTTCCCGCGCTGCTCCCAATGTAGTATATTTTGCCATCACAAATTGAAATACAAATAACATGAAAAGTTCTGCTAATGGCTTCGTATTACTTAAGTAAACAAACTGCTCTGTACCGTACAATGCTTGTTTATATTTGGATTTTTTTCCTATTAAAGAGATTGTGTTTTGTTTAGACAAAAGAGTTTTTCTACAAAATATTTTTGTACCTACTCGTACTATTTACGTTTGATTGTTGAATTCTTTTGTGCTATATTTTTAATCATTCTTGTTACAATGTAGACCGGGCGCTAGAGGTAAGTGAGTATGCAAAATGTGAGGACCGAATTCCACCAATGGATTTGTGTTAGGAAAAGGTCAAAGATTAATAATGTGGATCTTGTGGAATATGTGCTGTGCTTCTGAAATCTATCCCAAAAGTACAAAAATAGCTGTTTTTGCCCATTTTTGATTCGATTATGTAGCATCGTAGCATAATTTTTCTTTCAAAAACTGTTAAACGCATCGTGCTCTAGAGCCTGCACTAATGTTCCAACAATATAGTTTAGAGATTGTGTCAAATGTGTGTTTCCAACTATATGTCTCTCAGCTGTCTAATTCTTTTAACTAATTAGTAGAACAACACTACATAAGTAAAGCCGCACAATTCATTTGTTTACGAGTACATTATTACTACTACTATTATCCAGGCAAATATTAGGTTCAATGTGGTTAGAGTAGAGGTAGATACACTATTTTCATGTTTTCACTGTCATAAATTATTTTAAAGAAGTATTGTACAACATTCTATGGTTTCAAGTAAAGCGTAGTTCGATTTTTTTAATTAATAAAAATGAGTTCGCAGGAACTGCTTGTAGGAGAAGGATATAATTAATAAAGCACATTAATTTAACTTATATACCACACTTTAGATTAATTGTTGTGAATGCAATGTTAATTAAAACTATGAAGGCTTGAAAACTCTTGGAACGTTCTTGGAACATGTCCAAAATATGTTAAATTCAAACTCTATGAATTTAAAAACAAAAGTACTCGTTAATATTTTTATTCTAGTTTCAAAATTAAATTAAGTCCATTACAAGAAAAGCTCTTTTCTAAAATAAACATTATTTTAAGGAGCTGCCAGAGTTGTCATCATAGTAGATGTCATATTGGCTAACTTAAGATTTGTGTTATTAGATAACGGTATCGTCGACGTTGTGTTAAATTGGAACATCACCAGCTCGTAAGTCACTATGGTACCGGCTACCTGTAAAGAAATAAAAATAAAAAAGAAAATAAGTGGAGAAAAAAATGAGATTAATTTTAGCTCTTAGTCAAGAAGATCACGGGTTGTAATTACGAAAAAATTTACATTCATCTATCAAATGGTAGAACTTAAAAGTACTACTTCACGTGAACGCATTCAATATGTCACCCCAATACCAGAATCAATAATGAATGTCCTACCTTTCTCACATTACCAGACGATGTTTCAGATTTACCTACTTGTTACGAAACGCAATAATGATTTTATACTTTTCGATTTCGACATATCATCTCCATGCCTACGTATAATATCAAATTAAAATGTTTCAAACAATTATTTCCGAATAAAAAACCATAGGAAATTAAAATTAAAATTACTTACTCAGAAAATACTAACAAAATAAATACAAAAGAAACTTACAGTTAAAAGTAATCCCCGCGTTACGAGGAAAAATTGAAGGCCACTTAGCGCCACTTTATCTCCATTAACTTGATCTAAAAACCTTTGCACCTGCAAAAGGCAATTAGTGCCAGTCTAAGAGATATATATTATATCCACTTATTATTAAAATTGCATTAAATGTTTACTTTTGTATTGCGATTTTTTTTGTAGTTCTTAAGGAATGCGCTTTATGACTTCACGTACATATTCTGTTTAATGTAATATGAAAACTCAAAATTTGGTTAATACTTGAGCCATTTTTAGGACTGCGAGAGTTTGACAGACTTTTGTATACTAACTTAGTTGTAAAAAAATCGCTGGCTGAGCTCATCTACGATTTTAATATAGTTTAGGAAATGGGTTTCAATACGTACTTTCATAATCCTGTCATAAATTCGAAGTGGATTTTGTTCATTGCATACAATCACGGTGGCGGTCATCCTTAGACTTGAAATCACGTAGCGATCTATGGCTTTCCATAGACCGCTACGCTCTCTACCGCTACAGCTATCTCGGTAAACTTGAAGTTTTATTGAAGAATATAATTTTTAATGGGGTCTTATGACAAAAATCAAAGTTACAAACACAAGTGTCACCTAACAAGCCATTTCTGCTGAAGAACCGTTGGCTGCTTGAGGCAACATAATACTAGAGTAGAGGCCGTGAACCGATAAATGGAAGGTGGACCTTTCTCCGACCAGAAGGCCTGACGACCTTAAAAGGTTTGGAGGGCGAAAAAACGGGTGCAATAGCTTATTTGGTATCTAATAAACGATGTAATAAATGATAACAAATAGTTCTTCAAAGAAAATATGGTAGTATTTACCTCAACACAATAAACTGGAGAAGGGACATCGTAAAGCACTGGAGCGGGTACAATAGAAGCAGTGTTAACTTGAGATGCTATTAGCGAGACTGCTACAGATCTTGAAAGTAAATACACGAGAGAGAAAAGGAAGTAGGTAGCTGCTTCATGACCACCAAGAGGACCTGACCTGGATATTAAAAGAGTTGAACATAATGATCATCAGAGTAGTAGGTATTTAAAAAAAAAATGGTTTTATAACTCTGAAACTGATTGAAATTGTACCAACATGAGTATTATTTTGTAATTGATAGTCTAACAGGGGATTATATCTACTGTGTTAGGGCTAAACCGTGTTATATGCCACATATTCTGTGGCACTTGACACATAATGTAAGTCTTGATAAGGGGCCCGAAATAAGACGGAAATTCCGAAAAAAAATACGAAAGTAAAACCCCTTAATAAGTTTTAATAAATATGAATACTGGGCACATACCATACAAATATATGTATTTCAACCAGCTCTAGAGCTATAGATATAAAGCTGGATAAGAATGTAAATATCATTAAGAAATCGTTAAACGTTAATTACGGAATTTAATTTTTATAATCATTACAAAGGAAAATATTAAAATATTTTTAAGTCTACTTACTTTTTTGTTTTACCGTTACAATTATTTGCACTGCTTTTCAAGCCATCTCTGAAAACAAATAATAAATAAATTCAAATTGAACTTTTTTTAAAGTTTTTATTATGACCGCGTTTCGGCAAACGTAATGTATAGTAGTCCTACTATACATTACGTTTTCCGTTTGCAGTATAGTGGCCCTCAGGCCAGGTGGAGTGACAATTTGCGCAAGATGGCTGGCAGGAGCTGGATGCGAGAAGCCCAAAATCGATCTAAGTGGCGTGCAATGGGAGAGGCCTATGTCCAGCAGTGGACTGCGATAGGCTGATGATGATAAGTATTATAATTTTTTAACAAATTAAATAAAATTGATTGACTGAAAAGGGGAAATCTTGATATACTTATTACATAATTATATGATAAGACTTAAAAATTATAGAAATTTATAATTAGTATAAGCCCTCAGAATACATGTCTTTGTTTATTGTCCTATTTTTGTTTGCTGCCAAAGCTATCAGGACTTTTCCACTACGCTAAAGTCCTGGATTGGCTATATAAGTGAGTCAACACCCGTCTTATATAAATAGTTTCCTTTATCAAAAATACCTTGCCTTCCAAAATACGGTAAGAAATCTATTTTACAACGAGATTAAATTAAGATTTTTTTGCATAGTTATGTAAACAAATCTTGGACATAAATTTTCACCTAATTCTGATTTTCGTTACAGTACAAAACTTTGTTTATATGACAATACTATTATTTGGTATCTTGGAGCTGACCTTGAGCTTGGAGGTCCCTCTATGACCCCATCTCTATCGATGTCATGGGATCAAGAGGAGGATAGTATAAATCTTTAGTGGCTGTAAGTACACCCCTTGAGTTTGGGCTCTTTTGATTCGCTTTGAAGAGTCTAACAATAAGTTGGGTTCGGTAAGGATCGTTTTATGATAAAGTCATAAGCTTGGTCAGCAATTAAAGTGGGTTATATAGTTTGAATAAGCATTTTTTATGCCTAAAAGAGTGCCTGTCGATCGTGGACTGAAGCCCTGACATTTAAAGGCATGCATGGAAATAAACGTGAAGCTTAAAACTATCTTAAAAAAAAAGAAAGTTACCTTTCTTTTTATGATATTACAGTAATATTTCTTTTGATTTGAAATGTTGCTGAAGAAAGTCAAGTTAAAATAGTGGTTGCTATAAAATAGCTTGGTTATATATTTATTAGTCTAAATACTTTAGCAATTATCTTGTGGTTTAAAAAGTAGCTGTGAATTTATCTACCCGATTTATTCTCCAAACACCTAATGATTTGGAAGCGGGCTGTTATAAATCTAACTCGACAGCAGATAATTGAATTTTATATTTTGATAATTGAACCTATTTTTTCAGTGATACTGTATGTGTAGATTAACAAGTTTTAATATAAGTTAAAAAAAATGTCGGTCGTGTTTTAATAATTGTAGAGCACGATTATGTAATACAGAAATTGTATTATTTTAAGAATACTGAATTAAAACATGTTGAGTTTTCCTAAAGGAATACATCAAGCAGCAAAACCGTACAAACTTGGTTGTAATAAAAAAATTAAAGCATGAAACATAACTTACTCCAAAGTATTGAAAAGCTGAAGACAAACGAAGAACAAGTTGTTGGCGAAGGAAATGAATACTACACTACTGATGACGTCATCGACCTTCCGTACTGTTTGCGTTGCCCGACAGTAGTCCTCTCGTGTTGTTCTCCAAAACGTTTCTGGTAAGTACTTAAAACAAATATATACAAGATGGAGATGGTATATCTTCAGATCATACATAATGCTTGCTCAATTTTTAATACATTTTTTTATTTAGATATTTGATTTTCAAAAGTGACCGATGAGGATAATATTTCATATCGAAGGGAGCTGTAATGAAACTATCTAATATATAAAATTCTCGTGTCGCGTTGTTTGTACCAACCAACCCGTCTGGCCAGCGTGGTATAGTAGGCCAAACCCTCCTTTCTAAGGAGAGACCTATGTCCAGCAGTGGACTAGTAATGGCTGTTGATGATGTTGTTTGTACCAAACTCCTCCGAAACGGCTGAACCGATTTTTATGAAATTTTGTCTGATAATCGGCCATCATCTATTTTTCATACCCTTAAATGATAAGGGTGACCCACCTCTAAATATATTTTTTTGCCAAAACAAAGTTTGCCGGGTCAGCTAGTGAGTAAATAACATTAAAGATGTTGATGCAATGTGCTGACATTTAGACAAATACATTAAATCATTGCAAAAGGCCTAAAAATTCATAGAATGGTTTTGAAAAATTTAAAAGCCATACTAGGAAACTAATAATCGATCGATCTAAGTGGCGTGCAATGGGAGAGGCCTATGTCCAGCAGTGGACTGTTAAAGGCTGTTGATGTGATGTGTTATGTTAAAGTTAAATCTACTATACATCGGCTATTCATAACGGTCCTAAAATTTTATCATACTCGTACTCTTACAAAACAACGGTTCATTTTTGACCTCATTCAAATCTTCTTTTGTTTACGAACATATTTATATGAACACAAATTTTGTCAATTTGATTGAACCCTTTATTTTCGTTTAAGCAAAGTCGTTTAGCGAGTCTAGCACCTTATACAAAAATATTCTACTAGGTTGGGATACTTACCTTGCCTTGAGCGGCTAACAGCTTTTTGTTGACCTGCTCTAATCGTGACGTCAAGTAGTAGCTCATACAAATCACAAAAAGATCAGAAAAGTTCCATATAAATGTAGATTGGAAGTGAATAAACTGAAACAATAAATTTCAATGCGTAAATTATTAAAGAATAAGTGTTAATTTAATCAATAGATATAATTGTTAATTTTAGTAATGTAACAAAACAAAAAAAAATGGTTTTATTTGTAGGTTATAATTCCTGTTATTTTTTTATGTCTACTTAATATTCTGTTATTACATTTAACACGATGCTCGGTTTAATTCAAAGGAGTTCATTCCATCATTTGGTTAATACTCTAAATTATTATAAAGTTAATAAATAAACAAATCTGTTCTTAATGTATATTTTAAATTTTACTAATTGGTACACTATTTACAAAAATCTGCGATTAGAAATACACGCGTAACATTAAATTGGAAGTCAGTAAACAAAACATTTCTTAGCTAAAATGTTTTAAGTTTAAATACAGTTTTTCCATATACATAGGTCTATTTCAGATTGAGATGAAATTTTATAATATTGTCTACTCGCACGTGTTAAAAATGAATTTGGTCTATATGTACTCTCTACGCAAGGAACATACAAAAGACTAGGATTACGCAGAATCGTGGGATGTGTTACTACTCCTATCTTACCCAACAACTCTGGGCACTCCACTGCACCATTGGTGATTTTGGATAAGTATATAGTCTGCAATATGCCTAAGCTCATACAGGCGTAGAATGTGAAACTTTTTACATCGGGGGGTAACTAGATGTATTTATATAAACATTATAATTTGTTTTTAAATAGTACTATTATTAAAATAATTACTTACCTGAGTCAGAATTCCTAAATACGGCGAGTACGGTAAATACGTGAAGACCCATGGATAAAAATGTGTCACGAATATTTGATAAGTAATATCGTCATAGGAATAGCAGGCTGCTGCACCGGCTACCGCAGACAATAGTGACAGGATATGTTCCACTGTAAAAATGTTCTAAATAATAATCCAAAAAACAATTAAAAAATTTAAAATGATTAAGGCTTTTTGGTTAAAATGATAAAAGAAAGCCAGGAAATCATGTTAAGATGAGGTATCTTTTTAATAAATTTAACAAAAATATTAGGTCCAAATAATGTCATGTATTAAAAGCATTTTTAAAATACTTAATTAATTAAAGGATAACTGCTCTATATCGGTAAATATTGCAAGATAAATAAAAGCTTGTAAATTATACAAATTAACGGTATTGAAAAATATTAAAGTCAAGATTCGATTGAATTTAGTGGTGCCTATTGAAACTTTTTGAAAGTCTTTCTGTCTAGAGAAGTACTAATGCATTCAATAAATAATTATAAAAAAAATATGTTAAGTATAAAAATACAAATGGGTTGCAAGCTTTTTAAAACGTGATGATAAACTTCTTTAAATCTAAAGTTAACACAAGAGCTTTTATGGTTTCTTATGTGTCAAAGTCACATACAAAGTGTTCATACATACAAAAATCCTCCAATAACGATTCAAAAGTCACAGAGTGCAATGCGGCACTTTTTTCTTTGAAAGTGTTTGCAATTAAAAATTGCGTTTGGTTAAAAAAAGTAAATAAGTGTCTTTGTGAATTTTCTCAAAAACTCTTTTGCTGATTTCACATCAATACAGCATATGCGACTGCAGTGCTGTCTCGGGTTCGATTCCCGGGTCGGATCAAAAGTTTGCATGATCTATACATATTTGTTTGGATGTCTTCTATGAATAATATGTATGTATTGTATGTAGTATTTAAGTATTCCATTGGTCAGTCTAGCTTTCATAGTACAAGCATTGTGTGTAAGATGTCCGAAAAAAATAAAAAATAATTAATAATTATTAAAAATATCCAAATTTGTTGGCAGGACTCGTTGACTAACGGATCTACGTCTATCGCTATTTCTTACACTAAATTTGATAGGGTTTTAGTTAGCAACCTTAATTACTAGGACTAGTGTCCTGGTAATTAAGCTTGCTAGTGCTGTCAAAGACATTGGGTCACTATCTGTCAAAGTCGTAAAAAAATGGCGATTTCTTGTTCTACTTTTTAATGCACTCAAAACAAAGGAACGCGGCAAAATGTTCAACAACGATGAAATTTATACGAAACTTCGGTGCTAATATATTCTCTATTTAAATTCATAACTTTATATAAATAAATATTTAAGTGTGATGTAAGTATAGAAATAAGCTAGAAATAAGTTATTCATTTTCTTCTACTTACGGCTTGATAACGTCAATACCACAGCGCAAGTGAAATTACATTTCCTATTTAAGTTGACGTCAAAGTTAGGGTTTATTTCTTCAGACACGGTTATCTGCTGTACTAGTAATGGCCAGCGTTGGGCCACTTTGAAAAACAAAATCATCGTGACGCAGGTCGTCATATAAAATATTACCGGAGCTGAAAGTTCGAGAAAAAGTCATAAAAATTGATTTACATGGATGAGTTTTATGGCCAGGTATATAAAAAAAAGTTTAATTTATGGGCAGTTCTCAAGTTCCATGACGGGATTGCGAGTTATTGATGCCTAAATTATATTTTAACTAATCAATGTTCCCCAATAAAATTGATATCAAATTTCCAAAAAATGGAAATCTATTGTTTCAAGAAAGAAAAGTTAGTTAATACAGGGAAACATTTAGTTTTCAAAATATGCTAAAAATGGAATTCAAGTTGTAACACAAAAAACTATTATTAAAGGTTCATTGTACAAAGGCGGTTTATTTTGACGTAAAATAAATATTTAAAAACAAAGTGAAATTAGAATTAGAAATAAAGCTACATACTAAGTTAGACCTTTAGCATTCCGCAAAAACTCCTAAATGACAGATAAAACAGATATCCGTCAATATTCGATATCCAGCTTATCCGACTTGAAGCTACTATCAGGCTGGATATCTGATTTGTAAATACACGGCTGCATGTAACCTATTTAATGTATCTACTTTATTTAGGGTATCCATAGAGCAACCAGGTTTCGCCGGTGGCCTGTGGCGGTAACAAATGTAATCGTCATCATTGTATATTTTGCTATGATAATTGCAAACAACAAACTTTCCGTTCTCCAGATCGGTTGAACAGTGTACCTATTTGCTTCGCTAGCATCAACTATCTTGTATCTATTGAAATAAAACTCTGAAAATTAAGGTTAAAAAAATACATCATCATCTTAATCGAAACTCCAAGTCCACTGCTGGACTTAGGCCTCCCCCAAAGTTCGCGACAACAACATGTCCTGTGCCAAAACCAAACTAAGGAGACATAAAAAAGGGTTCATTTTTAACTGTGCGTAACTTGATTACCTTTATTATATACTCGTACACACATTTACCCTTCAACTTATACATATATTTAATTTCATAAGTAACAACTATATAACTTGTTCTTGTTTCCATAAACTTTAACTGCCACTTTTAATATCAAAGATGATTCGTATAAAACTGCGCATTGAAAATAGGTTAGTAATAACGATGAGAAATCGAGTGCACTATCAAAAGAAATACAATATAGTTTTATAAATCAGACAACGTACAACAGAAAATTTCCTTTCAAATCAGATTTATAACGACTTGTATCTATTATTTTTCTAAAATGAGAATCGATTTCAAGAAGCGCATTGCTGTATCTCGAGCGAGATTTTATTTTTAAGCTGATTGTAGCAGTCCTTTTTACACGGCTTTCTTTATTCTTACAATACCGGCAATTCATAACTAGTTTAATTTATTTAATATAATACCACTATACATCACTTTATGTTGTACTATGTTTAATATAGTTACTTACAAGTTCCATTCAATGAAACAGTTGAATGAGCCACTTTCTTTATACATAACACCGAGATAAAAATTTGTCCACACAATGAAAGAAAGGAATACACGCATTTCCATGAGGTTTTTACAAATCTGTAACAATTTTATATTGTTGATGTTATTGTTATTATCATAGTGATTAAAACACATTTAAACCATGCCCATACACATACACACATACAGGGTGTAAGGGACATCGTAACGAATACTGAAATAGTGTATTTAGACGATGATTCTGAGTTGAAAATCATTGGTATTTTCTGGCGGAAAATTAATTTGTTTTTTTTTTATAATTTTACATTTTTTTTGTTAAAAATGATATCACAATGAGTAAACAGAACATTTCACCGAACACAAATTAATAAATACCGCATACGGTCAAAAGCTGCAATGTAATTAATCCAACAGTCAAAGCGTACGGGCCTCCCCTCCGGCCGCCAACTTGTGTTAGTGTGCTTAGACTGTTTGCACGGAATACACATTTAGTTATTACTTTTGTGCGATACCTACGAGGAATGCTCTATAACTTTTACAGCTGATTGCACACAAAGTTTCATTTTCCGGCAGAAAATGCCAATGACTCAGACTCAGAATGATGGTCTGAATACGCTGTCTGAATACAGTATTCGTTACGATGTCAATTACACCGTGTATAGGATATTCTGTGTTGAATTAATGGTAAATTAAATCAGTGCTAAATAACCATTATAAAAATATTACTGCTCTGTTCTATTCTGCTCTATTCGACTTTCTGATATATCTTTCATGTACTTATATTGATAGTAGGTATTTGTAGATAGATTGGATTTTGTACTAGATTTTTGGGCCAGTATTCGTTACGATGTCAATTACACCGTGTATAGGATATTCTGTGTTGAATTAATGGTAAATTAAATCAGTGCTAAATAACCATTATAAAAATATTACTGCTCTGTTCTATTCTGCTCTATTCGACTTTCTGATATATCTTTCATGTACTTATATTGATAGTAGGTATTTGTAGATAGATTGGATTTTGTACTAGATTTTTGGGCCAGTATTCGTTACGATGTCAATTACACCGTGTATAGGATATTCTGTGTTGAATTAATGGTAAATTAAATCAGTGCTAAATAACCATTATAAAAATGTTACTGCTCTGTTCTATTCTGCTCTATTCGACTTTCTGATATATCTTTCATGTACTTATATTGATAGTAGGTATTTGTAGATAGATTGGATTTTGTACTAGATTTTTGGGCCAAAAATTTGTAATAATCTATAGTGTTGAATATAAAATATAATTATAATGTGTTATAATTGCGCTTATTTCGCTTTGGTACATTTGATGTGCTCTGTATTAAATAAAGAAAATATCTAAAACCAGTAGGTAAAACAAACTCATAAACCGCACAATGCGGGGTGTTCCGTATAAAAGGTTCTTCAGGGTAGAAGTGGAACAGCTCCGTATCTGTAGCTTATCAGGTTCGTTAGTTACCGGTGTATTGTTTTAGTTCGAAAGTTGAAACAGCGCGTAGCACACAACCATGTACCCGTTTATCATTGTCCATAATACTAACAGCATAAACTGATAAAACAAAAAATGTTTTTCGGTTGGAGTTAAATAAAAGGCAGAAGATTTAGAAGCATTTTGGGTAATAAAAAAATGAATTTTGATTGATTCATGATTAGAATTTTTGTATTGTATTTTGTATTGTTAGGCATGTCACGCACTTTACTAATGGAGTGTTTTTCAATTAACCTTGTATCATAAATACATTTTATTGGTTGCGTAATCTTTGTATTTCTACAATTATAGATTGGTAAAATTAAAAACACGCATTGACGCCGAACCAAATACTTGTAGTAGTATGAAGCATTGCTCTCTCAATGATTGACATTGAAAAGCAAAGTAAGTAGATAATCTAGAGTAATATAATAGTTTGAGAAAGCCAGGACTTACAAACACAAATACACGAAGCTAATACTACAGCTTGAGTTACTATAACTTCAGCAAATGCATATAATTACATTTTGTACAACTTAGAACTCATTACAAACTACCTAGACAGCGCGGGTAATCAAAACTGTTAAGCAGTTTTATAGCCACAGTCATTTATTGGCTTTTCCAGAACTGTTGTTTGTTTCATTGTCATCATTTAGAGTTTTGATATATTCGTATACATTGATCGTGGCATTGTTATAATTGCATATTATTAAAGACCATATTTATAAACGTTTAAGATCGAGATTACTAAAATAAATTATTTCCTCACCTGATATTACGTGCATCGTTACTGAAGACACCGACAACGGGTAACAATGAGAACACTTGACCGATGATGACAGTGAGTCTCAACGCCTTAAGAAATGTTGTGGTAGTTCTCTTCGCTTTTGCAACATGTACTTTGTTACCTGAAACAAAAGATGTAACTTTATTATTAAGGTTCATATAATTCACATCTACACAATTATTTCATCATTATTTCCGCGTCAGATTTCTTTCAAGATGCATTTGAACGTTTTGCTGCTTTACTTTGGCTGTTGTTTCTAATAAAAAGTTTCATCTAAAAGCCAATTCTAATCTCTTTCTCCTTAATATTTTATTTTATTTTATTTTTATTTTTTTTAAAAAGACAACTCCCGCATTAGGAATATATCCTGTGTCGCGGGGGACTTTACAAACATACATGAAACGGACTCAAAGAACACCCAGACTCAGAACAACAATTTGTGGATCACACAAAGTGTTGTCCCATGTGGGGTTTGAACCAACAACACTCAGCGTAGTAGGAAGCGGCATGGCGACCGCTTAAACCACTACGCCATGCGTGCAGTCAATATTGCTGATTATATACTACTTCATACATTAAATATCACTCATGTTATATTTTATTAAAAACTGTAGATTTGATAATTTACTGTTGAACCGAGGATAGGACAAAGTTTTCGTCACCTAATTTTATTTATATGTATATAACACTCGAATCAATTTCCATAATAAATGGTTTCATAACATAACAGGTCGAAATAATGTACCAACATAATATATGCTAGACCCGTATCACTGCAGACGTTTTATATAAATACCATCATGAAACAATTACTTAAAATTCTGCCCTTATGCACTTCTTCTATATGTAAAATTTAAGTATTCGTATACTTCTCCCTGCGCTCTTGCTTAAACAACGTGCGTGACAAGAACTTTTATGAATATTTCGTGCGTTAAAAAGTCTTTTACAATATTTTAAATGTCTCTCATTTTTACGAATTAAAAAAAAATACTTACTGATTAATTTACGCATATTGATTATTGAATTTGAAACGTACATTGTACGAGTCCTTTATAAATTCGCTTCGATATGTCGCGTATGTAAGATATTTGCTGGTGTAATGTAATGTTTCGAAGTAATTAATTGCAAGTCTTGCTGAACGGTTGAACATCTTGTACCAAGTTTTTGTTTCTTTAATACAAAAAGTTTGTTGCTTCCGAATGTTAGTTTCCACTAGTTAGTGTGTATGTTAGTTTTGACATGCATTGTCAATAACTATCCTAATAGTTATTAATATTAATCATCATCAAACCAAAATCTATGTTTTGATGATGATGACATTTTTGTTACCGATTCTAAAAAATCAGAGTAGCCTGCTAAATAAATATAGTCTTATCGATTGTTTCCTGTTAAACTTCAGTAGTATAATTTTTACATCGTAAATTAAAGATTACACTGGCTGCGGTCACAGCCGGACTTTGATTTGAGTTCATCAAGCAATCCAAAAGTATGTAATACTTACATATTAATCGCGTCTTTAAGTAATAACTTTATATCATAAAACGACAAAGTTTAAAAGAATTTAGATTTCTGGCAGGATTTTGATTCCTTTTACTTTTGGTCGATAAATGCTTATTTAGACCAATTCAAAAAGAATTAAACATTGTATTTTTAAAAACTCGTTCAGATATAATCACTCAATCATTATAGCCAGTGAGAATAATAAATATTAAAACTTCACGTTTTCACTAGCAGAAAATAATTGGACTGTTGGTAACGAAGCTATTTCGATTTTAAATTTCGTTTTATCACTCGAGTTCAAGTCAAGTACTTCAGTTTTTTATGCATAAATAAATTCAATCTGTTAACAAAAATTAAGTTTAGCTTTTACTATCCATATACTCAATTATCACCATATCCAATAATAGTAATTCCTGAATTATTATTTTCTATGGGAGCGGCCTATGTCACGCAGTGGACTGCTTTAGGCGGATGATGATGACGATGAAATATAAAAAGTAATGATTCTCTAAATCAATGTATTTGATATAAGAGTATTATTACCTGGATCTATTCTAATATTCATAACTGAATGATTAACTACCTAGGAATATATTCCTTATAAAACCTCCATATAAATCTTATAGACAGAGGCTATTTTTTTGTGTATTTCTAACGCAAAGAAAACATAAAAATGTATTATAAAAAAATATACTCTTGTACTCTTTGTACTCTTTTACTGCAAAACTGCTTTTTTATCATTGTTTAACCTTTTCTAAATGTTTGTTTTATTTTTCATAAACCTTCATTGTTTTTCACAATATGTATAGCTTGTCTTAGTTTTGAAAAGTATCAATATATGCAAATATTGTCATTACTTTTTCATTTAATATTCAAACCATCAACTCAGTATATTTTCGTGAGCAATGTAGTAGGTTCACCCTTTGCATATATTAAAATGTCTAACGAACGCAGTGGCGTCAAAAGGCAAGGGTTAATATCCTTGCATTTTTTTAAAATTGCAAAATTATTTTTACTTGTATATATGAATTTAATTATTTGTATTACACTGCATATTTTACTTTTTTGTTTGTTTTTATGTTAGATTAGAATTATAGTTTCTGAAAATAAACAAAAATCTTCCATGATATTTTTTTTAATTTGAGTATAATATGATTTTTCTCTGTTATGATCTAGTTGATACATTTTTTCTCAATTCGGTTTTACTAAATAGGGCGTTCTAAAACCGTAAAGTCAAGCATTTAATACGTGGATATCTTTGTTCAAAACTCATCATGACCACAAACACTGTTTTATAAACTGACATTGTATATTGGTGCATCATGAAGTCGTCGATGAAGAGGAGGAGGCTGAGGAGGACGCAAGATTAATTAGCTATTTTTACATAAATTCATATGAGTCATATCTTTGTCACGATATGTAACTTCACACAATTTGACATATGGCGAATATTTGCACGAATGGCGTAGAGGTTTAAGCGGACGACACGCCGCTTTCTACTGCGCTAAGTGTCGTGGGTGCGATCCTCATATGGAACAACACTTTGTGTGATCCACAAATTGTTGTTCTGAGTCTAGGTGTTCGTTGTCTCTTTCTGTGAAGCTGTAATGCTTCAGAAAAAGACCGCTGAACGGGATCGGGAGAGAGCCGAAAGCCGACGGGCCGCAGGCTGCCAGAGAGTGGGGACCTCAGGTGGCTGATTAACTGCTGCGGTAGTCGAAAGGATGGCGGCCTGGTCGCAAAAATGCGATCGGGCTGCAACATATTATCACAAAGATTGGCCGATATGCGGGGGAAGCCTTCTTTCCCCGGGATAGGGCCTGGCCGGCCGTCGGGGCCGTTTTTAGTATAAACACCACATATTCCTGGCTCCTACATCCCCACGGAAATCCAGAAAGCCAGAAATCCAAAGGGATTTTCCACCCCGTCAACAAAAAAGAAAAAAAAGGTGTTTGTCTCGTTGTTGTCTGTTTCATGTAGGTTTGTAAGTCCCCGCCACACAGGGAGTTTTTCTTTCACTAATGCGGGAGTTTTTCTTTGAAAAAAAAGTTGTTTTCCAAACATTAAACTTCTAAATATCAGGACCAATAAACCAAAATATGTTGCCATGGAAAGCACGTTAAATCTTTTTACTCCATAAATGTCAAAGTAACTCCCACAAACGATCTCGTTTAAAGACTAACAAAGACCAATCTCTTTATGAAAACTTTTGGCCTAAAATTGGCTTATGCCTAAAATGAGTCTTATGACAAAGGTACAGAAATTAAAAACTCGGTTGTTAAAAAACCAAAGGGATTAAAAATACCCCCTTATATAAAGAACAGATAGCAGTGCTGGTAGAAACCAGCACTGCTATCCTGTAACCTGTACCTATCTATATCTATACTATCTATTATGTTTAACTTTATATAACAGAAATCAATAGTGCAAGGATAATATAAGCATAATTTTACATCATCATCATCATCATCAACACCTTTTAGTAGTCCACCATAGGCTGGACGTAGGGCTCTCCTTAAAAAGTTGGTTTGGTATTGGTATAGCGTTTGTTTCACCTTTTCCTTCTCTTTGCAGCGCGCTGTTATCCTGCGTAGTTTGCTCCCTTAGTAGGCTTTTACGACACCCACGGGATGAATAGAGATGGTGACACTCCGTATTCTTAATCCAACAAGTTAAAAAAAGTGCAATTATGCCTTAATCTTAACTGAGGTGCGATTTGTATTTATCCATTATAATAGTAATTTTGTGCTAATGCTTCTTAGAGAGTTTTATAATATTAATAAAATTTATTTCGACTGTGACTGTTTAATTGTTATTAGTACATTAAAACTTAGCCTATGTTAGTATAAAGGTACATGATTACAAAAAGATGCATGTATTCGACAGCATGGAGTCATATATGAACAGTGCAGTCTGTCGGCTATCATGGCTAGGACCCTGTTGGAGCCACCCCTTATCAACAACAAGAATGATGCTGCTCGTTTTATCGACACTTAGAAAAGGTAATAGGAACAGTACAAACACAAAAAGTGAGCGATCCCCCTGATATTACAAACGTTTTTGATATAGGATAAGTATCTTTAAAGAATTGTGTTTATTGATCATATTTGTAAAACAAAAATAAAAATTATCTCCTATAAGCCAATCGCATCATTGAATGATTTTTCTGCAAAGGACTAAATTGTAAAATTCTTATAAAATGAAATAATATATTTTAAAAATAGAATATTTTTATGAAAAAATCTAAAAACATAAACCAAAAATAAGCATAGGCATTTAAACAATGATTGTGCGACTTACTGCTGGGTGATATCCAAAAAGATAAGTTCTTCTTAAAGCCCTTTTGTCCCATTTTCGTTCACCTTTAACTTAGTTGAAATGGAACTATTGTCCGCTGCTACTAAGGTGTCATTAGGTGCCGAGTCACTAATGGACGTGTTTACTGGTTTCGTGACAAACTACATATTAGAGATCCGCCGTTGCTGGGAAATAAAAAAGCCATGTTTTATATTTACTTTGTTACATACTTGGTAACTTGGTAACAAATAGTAAGTTTCATTCATACACACACACACATAGACACACACAAACACACACACACACTCTTTGACATGGCTTATGGCTTCATTTTGCTGATTATAATTTCAGTCCCATTAGCGTCAATCGGCTACGTGGTCGTATATTGCTGTAATAAACATATTTACATATTTCTACATACATAGATATAAGAAAATTTCAACTAGACAAACAAATGATCGTGCACATCACACAATATTTAATTAGATCCATTGAACTCTTTCTTAGAACTACACACTAAATCAATTCGTTAAGTAAAAGTTAGAAAGAAGATGAATTTAGATGCGAAAGTTGCTTTCAAACTTTAACAGGCTTTTTTTCATGAATCGGATCGTAATCGAACTGACTAAGACCACACGGTTTGTGTGTGAAATAGAAAAAATCCGGGAACAGCTGTTATTATGATATCCTGACCATTTAACATTAATTTACGTTCACACAATTATATAGGTTGTGGAGATCTTCACAACTCGTGTAATAGGGCTAATGTTAAACGGTTGCCAAACAGGGTAATAAACTATCTAACTATATATGAGTTATCATAACAAAAAGTTAGAAATCGAAACGAATATCTCTGAACTTGGGTTGTTGTAGAACTAGTTTTCTCTGAAATTGAGGTATTAAGGTACTTGGAAAATAACTGCACATTCCATTGAAATAATAATCCAGAACGGCTGATTTTGTTTAAGGATAAATTAATGTTGACAAAATCGAGCGAAATCGTGTGAAAAAGCTAGTATGCATAAGAATAATTGAAATTAAGTTAAATCATAGATTTTATGGTCTAGATAATTCATTCTGTTTCACATGATCAAAATGGTACTTCAAAAAGGACATTAAAACGCATTCCCTCCTATTTTTTTCACCATTGAGTCAACCATGATAATATAATAGTTTGAACTACCGATTTGTAGCTGCTACTGAATAAAAAAACACGAATAATGGAATATGTATAGTGTAAATTAATTTAATAAGTGTTATTTACTGGTTAAAGGTCACGGCACGCAATAGTGATTTACGAGTATATGTGTTCGTGATTATCAATAAATGTATGAATCACTATCCACTCAAGTCTATTGATAAATTAGGACCTTCATTTGGAAAGTTGTTCAATTAGTAACCATCAGTATATTAGTAGAAAACTACTAGGAAGTGACCCTTGATAGTTTAACTGGTAAGTTCCTGACGTAAGACCGTGAGTCAAATAATCAGGTTAATGACAAAGATGGAATTTTTAGATTTGATAAAACGAAGCATGTTTCTAATACAACTAGAAAGAAAACTATTTAACTGGCTATATGAATAATTCTGTTGTTATAAAGACTTCACCGCTCACTGCCTCTTATTAGGTACGTTAGTTTCATTTTGCGTCAATTGTTAAGTGGACTTTAAAATCAATAAACTGGACTTGGATAGTTCGAGGTTAACACCTCTCCAGTACCAATGGGGGAGAACAGTTCTTTTTGCACTGTTTGCTGCTTCTACCTTGTTATAAAATTCGGTTGACGGCGACGCTGCAAAGGGATTCGTAAAACAATTATCATGAACGATGTTATCTGTGCTTCCATTTTTGCACCTCTCTTGTCGTCTGTTTGACCCTCCTGCCCATTCTCTAACATTGGCCTCTGGCGATCTGACGCGCCACTAAAATCACAATACTAAACTTTTAAGTATCCAACCAATACCACACATCATAAAATATTACGACTACTATAAAAATTTAACAATCAAAATATCACCTTTCTCTGTCTGACACTAAAATTACATATATATATTTATATATCATAATAAAATGTATATATCCTAGATTTTTATGAGCTAGATAGAGTCGACCATTGCCGCCCAGACGGATTTGATGTTTCATAAAATTTATTATACGTTCTTGTTTTATATAAACTGTTCATTTATTGAAATCAAAGCTGTTTCAATTAGTTTAACTATATGATGGACTTTGTTCTATTGTTAAGTGATAAAATGTTCGGTTTGATATTCCTGTTTTTACTATTCTGTGCACGTACGACATACTCTGAACATTTTTATTATTTTGATAACGTCGTCATAGGGAATCTAAAGAAGAGAGATGTGATACCGCTCTCTCGAATAAATAATCCTTATGCTCATAATAGAAGATTTTTTAGTAGAGATCATGACAATGATCTGAAATACAGGAGATCCAAAGACATACGCACCACTTCTGCTACTTACTTGTATGAGGTATGTAAATGACCGCGTGAGGGGTCTATAGACCCCGGTCGGAACGAAGTTATGTTCACTTTTTGGTAGACGTTTGCCATAGTGTCATTATAATTTATATTATAAAATATCAAGTAAATAGAGTTAAATTGAAAAAATTATGATAAAATAACTATATTTATTATGTATAAAATAAATAATGATAAATTAAATATTTAATAATCTGGGATAACTAAGTTAATAACAAATAAAAATTTAGGAACTGTGTAAATTTTATTTTAATAAAAATACTTTTTTTAGTTTTAGAAATAAACATTGATAATTTTCTATAAAACTATAAATTAAAGTTAAAATAGATTTAATAATTATTTTCAATCAAAGTAATAATTTGTTTCTGATAAGAACAAGAAGTGTCAGAACAAATTCTTGTTACACATTTTTCGGTTTCGCTCCCATCCGCTCAGAGCGTGTGATACTTCGTTCCAATAAATCTAATCAACCCTAATTAATAGACACTATATCTACACTGATAAATACTAATATAATACAGATGAACAATGAAATCGAAAAAATATTAAGTGTCTAATAATCCCTAATACTTTCACGAGAAATGTTATTAGCTATTTAATTAATATTAGAACAGGGCAGAAACCGTGAAATTGCTAGTTACGTTTTGCAGTTCACGGAATTATATCTTTTCCTAAAGCAGCTAGTTTTTTTTTTCTCAAAAGACAACTTCCGCTCTAGGAATACACCCGTATCGCGGGGAACTTTGCAAACACACATGAAATGGACACAAAGAACATCCAGACTCAGAACGACAATTTATGAATCACACAAAGTGTCGTCCCATATGGGGATCGTTCAGTTCGATCCCCACATGGAAACCCCTTTGTGTGGTCCGCAAATTGTTGTTCTGAGTCTGGTTATTCTTTGTGTCAGTTTCATGTATGTTTGTAAAGTCCCTTGCAACAAAGTATATATTTTTATATACATTCCTAATGCGGGAGTTGTCTTTAAAGAAAATGATAAAGACTCGTACGTACTTGTTAAAAACGATCACGTGCACCTTAGAAATTCTGTTGAGGCGCTCACATCATAATCCAATCATTATTGTATACAGTTAGTCAGAAGTTATTATTTAATGATTAATTGATTTTAATTTTAATTATATTTCAGCTAAAAAATCGAAATATGAGAGAGCGATCGGATAATAATATAGAACCAAGCGGTGAAAACAATGCGTTACGATGGTTGAGTATAGGAATGGATGAAAACCTAGGTATTAATCCATGGTTTTAAAACTGTTTGTATTTTTCTTTTAAATCAGTAATGAGGATTTATTTTTCTCTTTACAGATCATCAACCAAGCCTAATGTATATCGGACCACAGTAAATTATTATGCACTTGATCACTTACGACCATAATCGAACAACGTCTGCTTTGTAAATAGCTGCAACCACAGAGATTTGTGCCTCAGATAATATGAAGACTCTACAGTTAGCTTTAGTATTGTTACGTGTTTGGGTTCGTTAATTTGGAAAGAAAATACCTTTATGACGCCTCAAGAGACTTTATTGCTACAACACTCAAATAAAGAAAATCAATGCCTAATAAAAGTTCAAAATGATCGCCGAGATTTTTATGCGTGGGAGAGCCATGCATGCATTCTGCACGTATGGGCCGGCTCGACCAGAGTGATACTACGGCCTCACAGGAAACCGGTGTTAAGCAATTCTTTCGTTGCCTTTCACTGAGTGATTGAGGTTACCGGATCCCAAATCCCCCTCCAACTGACTCGAGCGGGAGGGACTCCAAGGGCTGCAACGCACCTATGACTTTTGACTTGCAGGTGTCCATGAGCGGCGGTAGTTGCTTACCATCATGTGACCCGTCTGCTTGTTTGCCCCCTTATATCATAAAAAAAAGAAAAAAGATCGCTGGGTTACTCTTCTGTTGGCTTGGTTCAATTCGATGTTTATCGCACTGCAGCTTTAACTGAACTGTCTTACCGGCGATGATATGTCTGTATTCATATTACTCGTTAGATGGCTAGAAAGTTTATTCATCAATCTAGAAAATTCTCAAAAGATTGCGCGAGAATCTATTTCCGATCCTATGCGGAAAGTGATGAAGCTTATTGTCCTGTGCCGGTCTTTCTTATTATTACCAGGGGGCATTACGCGGTCAATGAACTCTCAACGATTAGCAATTTCTCGTGATAGTATTTATAGATATATTATATATAGATATATTACATATTTTTGATCTTTGTTCATAATAAACAAGTGATTTTAGTTTAATGTGATTGGTTACTAAGTTAGACGAAAATATATAATCAATTAAACAAATAATAATGTGCAATTGAGCTAACTGACATATGAACTAATACCAATTATAATAACTATGTCTTTACGGAGGAAGTCCGAATACCAGATTTAACTTTGCCTTAATATTTTCCTGCTATAAATTTTGATTGGTTAAATATTAACTGCAACATAATATATGAACATGCACCACTGCCGCATATATTTAAATGCTGCTCAAGTAAATTCCTGTTCCTAACATTGCCTTCCCTTCCT